CCATTCCGCATTTGCTCCAGCCCAGAGCCGCCTTTCTGCCTTCCCTTGCTGCCCAGAGGCCTGGAGTGGCTGGGGCGGTGTGGAAGGCCTGCGTCGTCACCATGGCGATGACACAACTGTCCTGCCCCACCCCAGATGCTCTGTGCCAGTACATGCAAATTAATCTGCCATCTTTGTTGGGTTAATTTGCATACTCATTCCTGATTGGCTGGTGGGCGTCATGAAGGTACTGTCAATTTGCATCTTCTCTTTTATTAGTGTAGACATTTCTAAACTAAAATCAGTTTCACTGGACTACAAGTGAAGGTGTCTACAGGGCCTGTTCCTTTTTTAGGCTCTGATGGGGGGAATCCACTTTCTTGCCTTTTTCAGCTTCTAGTGGCCACATGCATTCCTTGGCTGTGGCCCTCCTCCAACTCCAAAGCTTATCAATCCCATCTCTGCCTCTGTCAGCACACTGCCTTCTCCTTTGTCTCTGAACCTCCTGCCACCCACTCTGATAAGAACCCTGTGATCTCTTTGGGCCCAGCAGGACAACCTAGGATAATCTTCTCACCTCAAGATCCTTAACCTAATCACACCTGCCAAAGTGCCCTTTGCCTTTTAAGGTAACAATCTTTAGGTTCCAGGGATTAGTCATGGACATATTAGGGGGGTGGGGGGACAGGACCATTATTCAGTTTTCCACATTCCTCAACACCTTACATGCCTGTCACCCTAAACCAGCAATTTTCAACCCTTTTCATCTCATGGCATAGGTAAACTAATTACTAAGATTTTGCAGGACACCCAAATATCCATTATATATTTTTGCCAATCTGACAAAAAAAAAGATATAATTTTGATTCATTCACACCTGATGGCTATTGTTGTGCTGGCTGTTGTCATTTTGTTATTTGATAATCTAAGAGATCTCTGCCCGTGAGTAATAGTCAGGTATTGCGTGTTTTAAAACTTCTAGCAGCACACTGACTGGAAATCACTGTTCTAAATTAATGGTCCCCTTTCTATTTACTAGGAAAAGCATCAGTGGAGACTTTCTCAGGTCCTCTCCACAAACTTGTTGCTACTTTCTACCTCACCTCTTTACCCATCCTTAACGACTTTCCAAATACCTCAAAGAAGCACTGATCCTCCTTTCCCCGGTTAACTCCACCCCCCCGCCCCCATGATTTTGAAAGTATAGCCTTTTGTCTTTAAGACTAATCAGCAATACTACCATATCTTTGCAGTTTGTAAAAATGACTGGAAATATAGACAAATTTGAGTAAAAACATAAAAAGACCTTTGGAAATTCACCATAGTTTTAGGCAGAAAACTCATTATTAATTTTCTGTCATCCTATATATGACAGAAAATATTTTCCTCTTTCCTTTTACATTAATTCTAATAACTCAAAGTTATCTATAGAATAACATTGACAATTTAATCTCACCCTAATATTATTCAATGCTTTTTTAAAATATATTTTATTGATTTTTTACAGAGAAGAAGGGAGAGGGATAGAGAGTTAGAAACATTGATGAGAGAGAAACATCGATCAGCTGCCTCCTGCACACCTCCTACTGGGGATGTGCCCGCAACCTAGGTACATACCCTTGACTGGAATCGAACCTGGGACCTTTCAGTCCACAGGCTGACACTCTATCCACTGAGCCAAACTGGTTAGAGTTTGTACAATGTTTTAATGGCAAAAAACACCACTAGTCATGGATTATAATAATTAAATAACCTATATTGCAACAAACTTTTTCCATAAAATATTTTTAAAATTTCCCCAATCATTAATCTTTTAAACAATTAAAACTGAAAATTGAGCAATGCTAAACCAATCTTAAAAGTTTAACATCTTAATTGTTCTTTAAGGAAAAAATGAATTAAAAATAACTAATTTAAGTAAAGCAGAGATTATAAACTCTATTGCCTTTAGAAGCTAAGTTCTAAAGGATAAGTAGGAGCAAATCACATACAGAGAGGAACATTCTAGAAACATTTCCAGACAAAAGACATGTGTGATGATTCCAAGATGAGAGAGAAGAATCTCAGCAGGGAAGCAACATGATCACATGCTTGAAAATAGTAACCCTAGGAGCAATATTGAAAAGAGAATAGAGAAGAGCACAATGAATGTTGTGACTAGTTGTAGAATGGAGAGAAATGAAGGTGCTCTGGTCTCGGGGAGATCTAAAAACGGAACTGCAGATTCTAGAAATATATGATGGAGAAAGAGAGGGAGAAGAAACTGACAATAATAAGTCCCAGGTTTCTGGCATAAACGAATAAAATGACACTGATTAGGAGCTCACTTGGAATTGCCAAGTTTGAAATATCTCTCAGACAATGAAGGGAGCCATCAACTAGACAAATGACTATGAATATGAATCTCAGAGACTGAGGCTGGAGACCTAATTTGGGAATCATCTGCACAGAGGCACCAAATAAAGTTAGGTGTACCAGGAGAAGGAAAACTAGGAAGAAGCTTCAAGAATGCCTTTATCTAAGAGTCAGAGGAGACAGAGTAGTGGCTGAGAAGGAAAAGTCAGAAAGGTAGGAGCATACAAAGGGAGTGAGTGCTTTGTCACAGTGATTAAGAACCCAACATGTTAGGAGAAAAGACTGGTCATATGTGCCAAATATTGCTGAAAGATATCCAGGAGCATGATAACTAGCAGCGATCTTTGCCTTCATAGATACGCAGATATGGTGATCTTGATAAGGGCAAGACTGAACAGAATTGTTCAGATAAAAATGCAAAATAAAGAGAATGAAAATTTGAATTGTTGAGACAGAAGCTTAACTGGAACATATTCAAAGCAAATGAAAGATGAGAAAAGGGAAAGAACAAGTGTCAACAGTTCTTATAAGACATTTTAGTTGTGAATGGAAATGCAGAGGTCCAAAAGAAAACTCAGAAGATTTTGAGGAAGTGAATGGCCCAAACATATTTAAGCTGATAAGTAAGATAGAGTAAAAAGGCAGAACCTGAAGATACTTCACGTTTTTCACAAGGTAGAAAGAGATGTGATCTTTAACACAGGTGGAAGACTGGCCTTTGCCAGAGAGACACTACCCTCCATTAAAACAGGAAGGAAAAAGAAAAACACAAAAGGGGAGAAAATATAGGTGAAACTGTAGATTCAGTGGCATGACACAGTTTCTACCTTATGCTTTCTTTTTTCTATGAGAGGTAGAAGGCAAGGCACTTGTTAACAGTGAAGTGACCAGTAGGAAAGCTGGAGGTTTGAAGAGAACTATTTCAAAGTGGTGGAATGAGCTGACTAGAGAGAGTCTGCCGGGTAGTGTGGAGGGCTGACAGGAGGTTTGTGACTATGTACAAAGTGGCACTCACCTACCCTTGTGGGATTTCCTCCAGGAGAGGCCCAAGAAAGATTTAAGTGGCTGGGTTTATCCATAGTTTTAGCACTACCAGATGCATTTGTTGAAAGGTTGAAGGGATGAGAAATATTAATACTAGTTAATTTTTACTGAGCACATTATAGTCTGGGGCCTTGCTAGTGCTTTATATGAATGGCCCCTTTAAGCCTCATGACTATCCCTACCAAGTTGGTACCATATTATTTTCATTTTATAAATGAGGAAGCTGAGGAATGAATTTGACAATCAATGTTCACATAACAGCTAGCATTCAAGGTTTGAGATTTCATGAGAAAAAAAAAAATTGAAATAAAACAAATTTTAAAAATAACCTGATATAAGATTGAGATTGAGTGTTGTATAATTTTAAAAATACTTCTGAATCAGAACAATGGACCATGAAATTACAAGTCGTTTTCTTAGTGTTAGTGTTAGACAGTGTTAGAATTTAAAGACTCACCAAATCCAGAACTTTAAGAGAACAGCAATAAACTTATTTCACATTTATATCCCAGACATGATATATTTTCTTATGCTAATCATTGCCTCAAATGTCAACACATGAATCTATATCCTGAAGAAAGTGAAAATAAGGCTCAGAAAGACTAAACAATGTGTTACACCTTTTATCAAACCCCTGAAAAATGAAGTATCCTATCACTGACCCCCTTCCCTTGTCACTAGGTCTACAAAACCACGAGTAATAGGCCTGACTGAATTAATTAGCAGAACAAAAAACTTTTTAGCTGTTTGCTCTCATTGAAAATTATTTTCAAACATTACTTTATTCTATCAAGTGAAAGAAACAAGGTAAGCTTTCACCATTGTATTACAACTAAAGAAAACAGAATAAAAATTTGAAAAGCAAAGAGTAAACGCTTAGAAGAAAATCATTCCTTCCAATTTCCAAACGTGAACACTGAAGCAACAAGATGTTATCAGACTTGGTAATTTTGCAGTGACAGAATAATTAAGCAGCTTAATCAATTTTGTTTCATTCTATCATCATACTAAAGTTAAAAAAAACTGATAGTTTAATCTTGAAAGTAATTAAACACCTTCGCTCATCAGTGTTTTCCAAACTGTCCTGCTGAAAAGATATTTTTCTTGACTGACAGAAACAAAAAAACAGTAATAGGTGAAAAATAGAATATATATCTGAAGAATATAAATACTGAAAGCATTTACCATTAAGAAAGATAGATGGCAGCTATTAGAGTATAATTATCACTAAAGTATTTCTATTAATGACATCCCCTGTCAGTAAAGATATGAAGACATTATAAATTTGTAACAGAATATTCACCTTTCATTTATCATGTTGTCATTCAACCACCTTTAGTCAAAAGAGATGCTAATAAAGCCTTTTGGTATTTCCCATTCTACAGCAAAAATGCTAGATATTCAGAAAAAAATTACATCTTTCCCTTCCAGTCTTTCATTCTAATCATAAAGTACATAAACACTATATAAACTAACATGACCCTTGCTAGGGCAATATTGTTTATTTTTTTAAAAGCACCTTCCACACTGACATATATTATTCAACTACATGTAACAAAGAAAACATTGTTTTGAAATGCCTAACTTCTTAAAGGGAAAACAATAAAAAAAACTCTACTTACCATATACATTAGTATGTCTCTAATCATCACCATAGCTGTTTGATGATCATTCCAAGCTTGATTTAGCGTTTGAAGAAAGTTGTTATTCAATGAATTAAGTACATCCTCTCGCACCTATTAACAGAAGAGTTCATTACAGTTTGTTAATACACACACATATGTGCACGTACTCATATGTAACATGCACTTATTTCTGTTCAATAAAATAATAAAGTGGACTCTTCAATTTTAAATTAAAAAATATGTTATAGACCAGTAGAAACATTTTAAGCTATAATATGTTATGTACAGATGACTAACAAATGTGTTTTATATAGTCTAAGCCCTTTCCCTTGATCTTCAGAATCAAAAAGCAATCTCTTGGGCATTTTTTAACATCACAGTAAAAAAAAAAAAAATGAAAAATCCTAAATACTTATATGAACTAAAAGGCTCTATCTGTAGAACTGGCCCCGGGGCTATTGCTCCAATTTTACCTTCCCTCCCCCATTTTTGAAGAAATAGTGAGTCCACTGACTCCTGAGTCAAATTACCTAGGCTAGAATCCCAGCTCCCTGACTAGCTGTATGACTTTGGATACATTATTTAATCTCTATGCTTCAGTTTCCTTATATGTGAAATAGTGCCCATTTTGTAGGATTACTGAAAGGATTAAATTAACACTTGTAAAATACTTAGAACAGTGTCTGGCACTCATTAAGCACTCTAGCTACAATGGAGCTGCATACAGAAAATGTGTTCTGCCATTTCTTTTGCCTTGATTCACAGCTCACTCACTTTTTTCTCTTCAAGTCCTACCTCCAGTTTTTCCCTGACCACCCTATTTCAAACAACAACCTCTACCTTTACTCCTTAACCCTACAGTTTATTTTTCCTCACAGAACTCATCAGTAGGTACTGTATTACTAGTTTCTTGTTTCTCACACCAAAATGTAAGCTCCATAGAATCAGGGATTCTGTCTTTTCCATGTATATCTCCTACACCTACAATTGTGCCTGGCATATGTAAGATATTTTATTTTATCCCCACCCACCAATATCATGATCCACTTCCAACATGGTAAGCTCTTTCAGTGTATCTATCTGCCTTTGCACGTAAGTTCCCTGAGTCTGAAATGTTTTCCTAATGCAATCCTGATAATACTACGCAGATTTCAAGACTTCCTTCACATAACCACAAGCATACTGCCACCTTCTCCAATAAGAGGTTACTGACCACTACTACTTCCTGCTATGCTATCAGTCTAATGGAAAGAGTATTTAACTAGGAAACAGAATCTAGATTCTGGTTCTAGCTTTATCATGAAGAAGTGTGCTTGTCTTCTAGATTCCTATAACTCTTTTGTTGTACTATACTACCAAACTCTCCAGTTATTCAAATCCAACTAATCCTCCATGGTCTTGCTCAACTGTCAATACTCCAACCTAACAGATAGCTTTATCTCCAAACATCCTTTACTATAGACAATCTACAGTAGTAAACAATTTTTGAGGTTGGGAGAATCTGAAGTCATGGTGTTTTTTGAGAAACAAATATAATACATGTATTAAAATATATAGATATCTATGAACCTAAGTTCTAAACAAAAGAAATTAAAAAGGTCATTGAGTATTATAACTAGTATAAACAAGTGATTGGAAGTACCAAACATTCAAAGAAAATACACATAACGCACTAATCCCAACACACAGGAGAATAAGTTCAAATAGGAAAAAACTATCTAATTTATTTTTTCTTATATAATAGAGGAAAAGAGGTATTCAAGAGATATTAGTGATGGGACAATATGTCTAGTCTATAGTCTACTAAACATGTAGTATAAAAACCATTAGCTTATACTACATAACTTAGAATTTTATTATATATTTAATCTTTTGTTCACAACTGTATTTTGTCTTGTACATAAGATGCATTTTGAAGCTTTTGGACTTCAAAATCACCCAGAAATTATTCCATAAATATGCTGACTGTATCAAAAGTGATAAATATCCATGTCGGTTAGTTGAAAGCACTGTGTTTAACAAATACTATTATGCAAAGTAGATAAAATAAATCATTTATTTCAACTTACTAAGTCTACCAATTGTCAGATACAAATTTCCAAGGTAGCTAAGACTAAAAAAAAAAACCATCAACACAGCAAGTTGAAAATGTAGCTATATACAAATTCTTCGCCACACTTCATATTCTTTCACTGAAACACTAAATTCTGAGTGTCAATTAAATTAAAATCCTGAAAATACTAGAGAAATTGCACAATGTAACAAAAATAAAATGGTATATTCCAAACACCAAGAATATCTAACAATTAATTATTCTTAAGGACTTAAGTAAACTCTGTATACCACTTTGTTATAAAAATCAAGTTATGTGTTACTTACATTAAAGTCACCCTGATTTGGGGACACAAAAATGTTCTTGGTATATTTCATTCATATAAAAATGTGTTTAGATGAATGCAAAAGTGACCAATTAAACAGTTCTAAAATAAACCATGTTTTTCAAAATCACTAATACTCTTTAAAATAAAATCAACAAGTATCTATAAAATATTTATACTTATACCCGACTTTCAACAATAATATGATCAACTAGCACAATGTGTCATAAATAAAACTTTATTTGCATTACACTTCAAAAATTATCCTCACAAATCAATAAGTGCATATTACTTAGCAAAAAAAGCTATTAAGAGCTAATTTTGTTAAATTTATTTTTGAATGACTATGCATATACTCACATACCTAAGACAAAGTAAATGTCATACATATACTTGTAATCATCTCTTAATTATTCAAATCACTCTATAAGCAAAAAATTATTTAATACTACCCCCAAAAATATCTTTCTACTCTGATACATCAAAAGTGAATGGATATTTTTTCAAATATGTATCATAAAGTGGTAGCAATCAGATGAAAATACAACCTTTATGAAAATTAAAACAGGCTTTTTAAATGAAAAGATGGCATATAAATGAAAAATATACACTAAATGGAAAAAGCCTCATTTTACAAAGTATTAATGTAACAATACAGACATTTTGAAAAAGAGAAAGTGGGGGCTGTGTATGTGTGTGTAACAGTGTTAGTCTCACACTCAACACAACCATTAATTTCTGCACCAGAAAAGGCAAATGGGAAGGAACCCTGCTATAGAGGTGATCCTAGGATCAAAAGGGCCTGCTGACAAATATAACCGGTAGTATTACTTAAGAAGACCTCTAAGAAGGTTACTCAGTTGAAGAGTTGGAATTTGAAGGGTGAGACAAGCAAGAACAAGTAACAAAGCCATGGAAAGGTGATAAAAGTATAGGGTCAGCTGTGACAGGATAAAATGAGCCATTGAAAACTGGCTACGCATGGTACTTAGCTTTGAAAGGATAAAGCAATGCACAGATAATAGTTCAAAACAGATCACAAACCTGGTGAATATTTAGAATCATCTGAATAGCAATAGATTTTGATAAAGAGATTGAGAAGACAAAACAGACTGGGAGAAAATATTTGCAAAAGACATCTGATAAAGGACTGTTCAACCTTGTGTTCTTAGCCTCTGGTACAATTGGCTTCATTTTATGTCATTTCACTTAAAGTCACAGAACCTATTGACGATGTTAAGTGAAGACTTACTATATACAAAGAATTCATAAAACTCAACAATAGAAAACAAATGACCCAATTTAAAAAATTGACAAAAGACCTGACACTTCACCAAAAAATACAGATGACAAATAAGCATATGAAAAGATCTGTGATATCTGATCATTAAGGAAATGCAAATAAAAACAATATTGGGATACCACTACATATCAATTAAGATGGCCAAAATCCCAAACAGTGACAACACCAAAGCTGGTGAGGATGTACACTAACAGGCATTCTCATTCACTGCTGGGGGAAATGCAAAATGGCATATTTTTACTATAATGATCCAGCAATTATACTCCTTGGTATAAATACCAAAGGAGTTGACAACTTATATCCACACAAAACCCCACACACAGATGTTTATAGCAACTTTATTCATAATTGCCAAAACTTGGACAAGATATCCTCCAGTAGATGAATAGATACATCCAGACAGAATATTATTTAGCACTAAAAAGAAATGAGCTATCAAGCAATGAAAAGACATGAAGGAACATTATGAAAGAAGACAATCTAAAAAGACTACATACTGTATGATTCCAACTACTATATGACATTCTGGAAAAGGTAAAACTAAGAAGACTGTAAAATCACCTGTTACGAGGGTTAGGGTGGAGGGAAAGATAAAAAGGCAGTGAGGCTATTCTGTTTGGTACTATAACAGAGAATAAATTTCATTATTCATTTGTTAAAACCTAGACAATGTACACCAAGAGTAATCCCCAATGTAAACTATAAACTGGGTGACAATAATATGTCAATGTAGGTTCACCCACTGTAACAAATATACTACTCCGGGGTGAGATGCAGAAAGTAGGAGAGGCTATATGCGTGTGTGGAGGCAGGAAGTACATGAAAAATCTCTGAACCTTCTGCTCAATTTTGCTGTGTCTCTAAAACTGCTCTACAAAATAAAGTCAATTAAAAAAAAAAAAAGCTACTCATAACAGTCAGGATTTGCAAACCACTGACTTTAAAAAAACCACACCAGCCATTTCTGTTCCATTCCTTTGCAGAATTTCTTCAACATGAACATATTTTTATATAGTTAGAACTAGAGGCCCGGTGCACAAAAACTTGTGCACTCGGGGAGGGGGAAGAGGGGGTCCCTCAGCCCGGCCTGTGCCCTCTCGCAGTCTGGGACCCCTCAGGAGATAACGCCCTGCTGGCTTAGGCCTGCTCCCGGGTGGCAGAGGGCAGACCCAATCCCTAGGTGCAGCCCCTGGTCGGGCTCAGAGCAGGGCCGATTGGGGAGTTGGGGCGCCGCCTCCTGTCATGCACAGAGCAGGGCGGATTGGGAGGTTGCGATGCCACCCACAGTCACACTCAGGGTAGGGCTGATTGGGGGGTTGGGGCACTGCCCCGTCACACTCAAGGCAGGGTCGATAGGGAGGTTGTGGCGCCACCCCCTGTCACGCACAGAGCAGGGCCCATCAGGGGGTTGAGGAGCTCCCCCCTGTCAC